TTTTATATATATGTGTGTGTGTGTGTGTACAGGAAAACAATGGCTGTGCTGGGAAACCAAAATGACCTTTTACTGTTTCTCTACTGTCCTACTTCTAAAACAACTTGCTTCTCTCCACAAATGCTAATACTAGCTAAGCTTTGACATGTAGAAACCCCCAAAGTGACTTACCTGTTGGTGTGAAGGCATGCTTGGCTAAAATCCTTTTAACACTATCCATCACTGTCTAATTCTCATTTGTCATACAAAAACTATGCCCCGTGTAGGAATTGCTGCTGCCAAAGGCTTTTCCATAAGTCATGCTCCTCATCTGTCTGAGGCTAATAGCTAAATATCACTCTCTCTCTATATATATATATATGTATTTATGTGCATACAGCCTATATGAATGGTCAAGACTGAAGTCCCCAAGCCCCTTCATTCCCAGAATAATGTTGTATGAGCTGGATCACACAGGCCTGTTCTGTGGAGTCACCCAAGTGATACTGAAAAGCTACCTTAAAAATACAGACAGGTCAAAAGTCCCATGCCCACAAAGAACTGCAAAAGCCACATCCCATATGTGACAGCCCCTGATGGACAGAGAAGCAGTGGAAGGGTAGGGGAAGTCTAGAATAGATCTAATTTTCTTTGCAAATGGAGTAAAGCCACCCTAATGTGATTTTCCTGGAAGAGAATTCAGTGATGAATGGTTCTGCATAACATGCTGAGCCATCACCACACCGGAGCCATTTATCCCTCCGAATGCATGTAGACAAACGTGATTATTATTTAAGTAAGCTACAACTGCCCCTTGCTCTGTCCTCTGCATGTATAACCTGCAGCCTCCATTCATCTCAGAGGAGTTAAATCTTAAAATGACTAAGCTGATCCATTTCCATTTTAAATGATGTCAAGGGCACTACCGAAAAGGGAAAAACATGGTGACTTGAAGGAAAATGACGTCTGTTCCCTGACTCATTTTTCCTCCCTAACTCCTGTGCCTTTGATGCACCTGACAACTTCTGCATCCTTGAAGGTGAGAGCAGCCCACAGCAGCTTTTGGATCGAGCAGGATGCAGAACAACAGGGGAGGCTGGCATGGCTGGGCAGCAATGAGGGCTATTGCTGCAACTTGTGTAACTTGCGTGGACCATGCTGAGTCATCTTCAGCTGCGTCTGTGACATACCATATGCACAAAGCAAGTGTGGTATGATGCCCTTTCACAGTCATTTTTCTATCCAGCTCCACTCTGGAGACTGGTTTTGATCTTTTTATCCCTGGCCCAGGTGCAATCAGCTCAGACCTCCCCTACTGCCTGCAGATAATGCTGAAAATTTATGCAGCTGCTGAAGCACAGGCAATTTTTCAAACTCCTTTTGCACACACCTGGGGACCATCAGCTCAGGTAGTGATAGATAACATTGCTTTGGCTGCCCAAGACTAAGCAATGGCTGCAAAATTTTCCAAGGATCTCGGTTATATATCCTGGAACTGGCTAGTGCTGAGCTTATAACTCTGAATTCAAATGGAAAGAGAGTTTATGAAACAACTTGCTTAGCATACGGGTACCACTGTGTCAGTGTGAGGTGCAACTGCGAGTGTAACAAAGGTGGCTGAAGGACGTTCCTTTTCCTCAGGCTTAGGAGCACCCTGTGTTGGGAACACAGCTCTGTGCCAGGGCAGCCCTCTGCAGTGGTGCTGCTGGAGGGAGCTGTGTGCTTGCACACCCGCTGCAGCCATCCCGGCGGGCTCTGCCGCATCCGACACACATTTCGTGTCTTGACATAAGCTTGCAAAGATCATCTGAGGTACCCGAACATCTTGTATAACCATGATTAACAGGAGTTGGGAAAAAGCCCTTTTTGAAAAACAGGAGAGGACTTGATTTGCACATACTGAGAAAGAGGCACTAAACACTTCATGTGTAGTATAAATCTGTCTTTCTTTCTGTGATAGCAGCTCATAGGTGCTAGTGTCAAGGGCTAAAAATAATGTAATACAGTGAAAAAGTAAACCCAGGCTGCATTAGCAACTACCCACGACCACGGCCCCTTTCTCCAACGCTAGTAGAGAACAGATGAAATGCTGTCACAATCTTTCTGCACATTCTCTCTGGACAGCCTGACTTCTGACTGTTGAGACCTATAGCTCCTCCGTGTATTGAATTTTAAAGTACGAAGACAGTGTCTGAATTGAATTACTCAGCACAGCATTAGTTAAGTGTCTCTTGTGAGCTTCCTCCTGTGAGCAAGCAGGGGATGAACTCCCAGCTAGTTGTGCTTCTTTCCTTACCTGAACTCCTTTTTCATTGTTCTCAGCACGCCAGGTCCCTCAAGGCGCAGTGTGACATTTTCCAGGGTTTGTTTCAGAGGATTGGTGAATTCCACAGTCACAGACATTTCTTTACCAGCTACTGTCTCACCTTGGGTCTGCAAGACAAGGAAAGGACAATGCTCCACAAGCTGATAATAATAAAATGCCCTACGGTGAAATCTGTAGGCTTAAATACAAAATATTTGCATAGAATGGAGCATACAGCAAAACAGCATGAGGCAGAGAAAGCCTAGTCAGAAGAAAATTGTTGGATGGGCCTACCGGTACCACTGCAGATTTTTCTACCCATTGCCATTTTCCCTCAAGCCACGTGGCAGGTCAAGAGGCAGGCCCTCATTTCCATGGAAAAAACAGAAGTCTGCATGCACAGTCCTGGAGCTGAGTGTCCAACTGAGGGCAAGTCCAGCTGAAGGGGGTCTCTCTCCCAGATTCTGCCCCCTCCCAGGCTCCCCACCAGCACTGAAGTGTATGGCCTGCTCAGGACTTAAGCTCCAGAAGTGAAGGGCAGGTCTTACTACCATAAATTAGAAACACTGGGTCATGTTGCTTGCAACCCCAAAAATGTTGTGCCCATCTCCCTCTTGCCTTGCAACTGCCTCTCATGGTCTGAAGGGTTTCTAACCCTGCATATGAACTTTCAGTAGACCTGAGACCCAGTTGTCCTCTGAAAGCTTTACATGGCAAAAACCCAATACATTTTGCACTGGAAAATATTAAACTGCAAGACTAATGAACAGTGATCGCATTGACTTCCATGTATGTTACACTACAGAGCTTAAGGGATCTGCTGGGTACAGCTGCCTGGAAAACACCTCCAGATGAATGTGGTTTTAAACAAAGACTACATGCTTGGGGATTTGGGGGCTTTTCCCCTAGAAATACAATATTTCTCACAGAATATAAAAGGCTCAGGCAAGGGTTTTCAGTTTATGGCTGGCAGATCCCATCTAGTCCAGAGACTACTTGAAAGAGCCTTGAGAACTGTAACCAAGAAAAAAAGTATCTTGTCAATAAATCTGAAGTGCTCTGCTGGGGTCTGCAGCCCTACTGCAAATTTTCAAGAGTATGACAGTTGCAAAAAGCTGGAAAGACTCTGGTCTAAGGGATCACTCTGCACCAAACACCAACATACTGACTGGAGTAAAGGTTGAGATACAGCTAAGCTCCCAACAGCGTTTGGCCACCTGAATTTGCAAAAAGACATCAGTGGCATCTTCAGACATTCTAGCCCAGTTAGAGGCCTTATGCCCTCCTTATTTCAACTGGTCATTTAAGATCACTCTTACGTGGGAGGATTCGAAATCATCCTGAACTCCCACACATGCACCTGAGACCACGATATGTATTTACTGAGTTTATTTCTGTAACCTGGTCTCAAGCTAAATTAGAATATGTTGCAGTTTCCTCAACTCTTAACTCTGACAGTCTCCTTAGACCAACAGAGAAAGATCAAAGGTGTATCGGAAGACATGAGGGGAAATATGTTTTTTCATTCTTCTCCCTTACTCTCACATTAAGAACTCCAGTCTGCCAGTCACATTCAATGAAAAAATCTGTCAAGAAAACTAGGGAGATAAGCTTCCTCAAATTCCTTTAAAAAGCAATAAAGCAAAGTTTCCTGTATAAGTACATAGGTATATACACACGCACACACACACTCTTAAAAAAATCCAGCTATTAAAACTTCAGCGTATTTTTACACATCACAAAGAAGCAGAGAAGAGACAAACTCAAGTTTTACTAGAAAACATGGTTACTGGACAACAACCTATCCTATATACAAAATATCCTTTCTTCACAACAGCAGGGAGGATAAACTATTTTGAAGATGAAATTTGGGATACTGTATAAGATGTTCTGTTTAAGTATTGAATTGAAAGAACTTTCTACTTTTAAGATTTAGTTATTGAAGACAGGTATTTGAAGCAGAGTTTATCTGTCTTGTTTACCTCCGTTCTAGAGTGCTCAGTAAACCAAAAAACTTTTGTTTGAAAATACCAATAACCTGATGAGATCATTGTGACATTTCTGCAGACTATGGAATGGAGTGGATTTTTTTTTGCAAACTTCACTGTAGTTTTGATCTACGTTTTTTAAAAAGCTTTTTCTGCAGAAGGCTGCAGTTACTACATAAATTATTATACAGAAACCTGAACATTAGTGCAAATAAATACACAGGGACAAAAAGGTCTATAAACTGAGATTTCTATCAGGGAGCATAGTGATAGGTTGAGGGGTAATGGTTTGAAGCTGAAAGAGGGTAGATGTAGATTAGATATTAAGAAGAAATTTTTTCCTGTGAGGGTGGTGAGACACTGGAACAGGTTGCCCAGAGAAGCTGTGGGTGCCCCATCCCTGGAGGTGTTCAAGGCCAGGCTGGATGAGGCTTTGAGCAACCTGGGCTAGTGGAGGGTGTCCCTGCCCATGGCAGGGGGGTGGGAACTAAATGATCTTTAAGGTCCTTTCCAACCCAAACCATTCTATGTTTCTATGATTCTTTCAAGGTCCTAAATTTTAGGGAGCTGCATTCATGTTTTTATAAAGCTTCCTGAACAGGTGTTCTAATTTTTTTTTTTAGTATTAGGAAGAAAGCAGATCCAAATGACATCATTCAAAGCAGATGAAGGTTCAGTGCTTTTGAAAATGAGGCAATTTATTTGGATGCCCATTTATGATTTGAAAACTCTTAATCTCAGCCCGGCCTTTGCCATAAAACATAGGGTCCTTGTCCTATCACAAACATTACACTTCTGCATTTTCATAGTTACCATGCCACCTTCTGCAGAAATGCTTGAACTTTCACGGAACTCCACTGACAGTACTTTCATACCTCCATAGCAGTGTCCTTTATTCTTCAGCAAGAGGACTCTCTGCTGTGTTTCTTTAAACAGAATAGACTTCTGAAGTAGCTAAAGACTTGAGTGACTTAAGTGAGTAATCTCTCTTACCCTTTGAGTTTCTCCAGCTTTCTCAGATCTTTTCCCCTCCTTCCTCCACTGAGATCACTTCAGTTCTCTAGTACCAGTGACGCTGTCAGCCTCAGACTTCAATGTAGGGATACTCAGTACAATACACAACATACCTATACATCCTTGTATGCTCCAGCTGGCCACTGCTTTTTAAGGTCCAAGCTAGACTGAAGGTCTAACATGCACACACACATGTACACCCCCCCTATCCCAGAAGTCAATGTGACAGCCCCATAGAGAACAGCCCGTGTGCAGCATGGGGGTCGCTCCCCTCCAGCACAGCCCTGAGCTACCTTGATCTGCAGGGCGGGAATTTCCAGGACCGTTGCCTTCTGCTTGGCCAGTATTTTCCCCGTTTCATTGATCCGAGCTGTCACAAAGAAATGAAAGGAGGCTTGGTCCAGCAGGTCACTCAGGTACTCGCTTGATTTGACCACGACTTCGAAAGTGCTGGCTGAAGGGAGAAACAGGAAAGAAAAAAGGCTTCTGAAGCAATTGAATGGCTAATTGCTCCTATCGTCACGCTCAGTGCCGGTTACACGAGTGCCTTCAAAAAAAAGGTGGCCCACAACCAAAGAAAGGCTTTTATTTTTTTGCCCAAACTATCTTCATTTCCTTACCTCACCACTCCCCCTGTTACCTTGCCTTCTTTCCTTTTTAGGCTGTGACCTCCCTGGGCCAAGGGCTGGGTTTGTGCACAGCCTCTGCCCAGTGCCCATCACCACAGGCTCAGATCACTGTTGAAGGTTTCTAGGCACTACCACAAAATAAGTGAGAAACAAGCCTGGCAATAAATAGCTACTAGGTCCAAACCAGCTTTTGAGTGTCACCCTCGTAAATGTTTGCTCTTTCACTTTATTCCTGTGCTTTTTCTGCCTCCCTTCCTGGCAGAGGGATGCCACCAGGGATGCCACCAGAGCAGCCACTGGGTATTGTAAGCCCAAGCAGGCTACCTGGGAGACCACCTGCTCTCCATGACATGTCTGTATATCTGTCTTTGTCCGACACTGGACTTGCCTGCAAAACTTAGTAAGAAGGTCCTCCTGTCACCACCATGCCTACAGAGAGCTTTCACGTACTCCCTGACAATAATTATTGGAAGAATCAAATCCCCCTAGGCTAGGCAGTTGAGATGCAGGGAATAATTAATTTTAACCATATTGAACTGCAATTCCCAGGCTAACAATGGTGTGAGAATGTGATGCAGAGAAGCAGACCTGCTAACTAAGTGACCAGACAGAATATATACATCTTGAGCTCTTGCCTCTGTAAACATTCATTGTAACCCTAGTAAACATATCAAGATCTGCCATTTGTTAACCATGATTATTGCTGTTATCCATTATTTGTATTGTATTTGTGACATACACAGTAGACACTGAGATAACTGAACTCAGTTGTGTAAATTACATTCACCTTTTTTTCACTCTTTTGATCCGCTCACATCAAAACCAGTTCCTTGATTTGGTTTCAAAGTTATTCCCTTGGTGACCGCCTGACCTGGATTTACCAGGCCAGCCTTAAATTTACTTGATGTGCTCCCCTTCCCTCCCTCCCTCCCTCTCACTCCATATCTCTTGTAAAAAAAATTCTAATTATGCCCCAAACTGTAAATTAAAATCAAGAAATTTATTTCTCATCTGTGTAAAGTAAGTAAATAAATAAACAAATAAATAAGTTACAACCTAAGAGAAATTTACTTTACAGTGGAAGGAAAGACAAACTGTTTAAATTTAATCATTACCAGTGAAAAAAATAAGAATTTACTTCCATTTCCATAGCACTGGCTGTGCTGGTAAGTTGCCAGTACCACTTACTGCACCTGGGAAAGCCAAGGGAGACACAACCCTGAGCTGCCTTACAGCCTTTCAAAAAAACAGAGAAAACTAAATATAACTGGGTAGATGCAAGAGCACCTTTGAAGGCACCGTAAGGTTTAAGCTATTCAAATCCTCAAAGATGTTTTCAACCCACACAATTCCTTTAATCATTATTCTGAAGATCATGCATTCGGTTCCTGTTTGAAAACTTAGTTTGCTTCATTCTTTCAGCAACATGGGCTGGAAGAATGCCTTTGACACACCTTTATTATACTGTGATTTTTTGTTGCTTCTGGGTATATGTATTTACACTTCTTGCCATGAATGAAGCCTACAAATTCTGTCCGAGTGCCTCAGAAGGTATTCACCTGTGTGTGACGGAGTATTGTCACAGAGCTGCAAATGATCGCGCTGCCTCCCTTCACACTTCACATCTGCTCAGGCACCATGCCCTATTGCATGTGTACTACTTTCCCAAGCAAAGGCAAAAGAGTTCATGCTTAGGTTTGATGCGTCACCTACAGAGATGGCATAATTTGTGAGGGTTTTTTGTCCTGTTGCAGGACAAAGTAATCCACAAGTCAATGGCCGTAGCTCAGTTATAAGCTAATTTCCACCTTGAAAGGTGGTATTAGCTTAAAACATGCCTCCTTGGACAGAGGCAGTCATGGGGACATACTTTTGGTACACTTGCCAAAAAATCCATGTTCTGTTCTCTCAGGCGCCTCTCTCTAGTCTGTGTTCACTCACCATCAGCCAATTCAGTTTCCAGCACAGTTTCAAGAACCTTTTTACAAACCAGTTACTTAACTTAGAAAAAAATTCATTATGAGGCTCAGTGATGCTTAAACATCATCTATTCATTTCATTTCTTGCACCGAGGAGACAGATGAGCCTCAGAGCACTGCAGAAGCTGTGTTTCAGGTAATACCTTACACAGACCTTTGATGCAAGAGCAGATGTAAGTCCTGGTACCAAGCACAAAGCACAGCCAGGAAGTGTAGCAGGTATTTGCACATGTCCTACAAGATGACCAAATTTTCCCATATCAAAGAAGTAGCATAGAATTTAGACAAAGCAGTTGAAGTTGATTTTTGTACTGTACCTAACCAAGTCTCCAAAAGTTGGGCAGTGTTTCTGATCAAATATTTAGCAACTGTTGCAAGCCAATATAAACCCCCACACTGTGTTTTGGTAGGCTGTATTGGAACAATGCAATGCCCATTTCCAGACATTGGAAATATATTGGAACAAGTCAATGCCCATTTCCAAACCCTCCGCAAATCCGTCAGGGAATTAGAAAGAACCAGCAAGCAGCTGTCAGGGCTTTGTTATAGACTGGAAGTAGAATGTTTATTAACCTTCACCTGTAGATCCCTGTAAGTGTACTCCTACTTTACAGAGACAAATCAGCTCCAAATAAAAATGTGCAGTTTTAGATGATGCTCAAAGTGAGGAAGAAAGCAGAGAGGTTTTTTTTTCACGGCACAGTGGGAACCGTGGCTCTATGGAGCCTTCTCACTGAGACAAAACCCATCCTCTTTGAGAAGAGAGGACTCAAAGTGTCTCCTGAGCTGGGATGAGATAGACAAGACAGATGAGAAAGCTCAGAGGTCAGCCAGGGTTGCTGTGATCCAGCACTAGACCCCAATCAGGAGGCCCATCCTCTGGCCTTCAAAAGTCCTGCCACTCCCACTGCGCTCAGCAGAGATTGCTTGGTCCAGTGACAGCATCAAGAAGGCAAAATCATTGCTCCTGATTTTCTCAGTAGGGAACTCAAGTGGAGGATCCTCTGACTTAGCCTCCATAAGAGCATGTTCTCATCACTTTTGTTGAGCTGGAGGCATTGAGCACAGCCCTGTCAGAAGAACAAGTGATTGGCAGTCACTTGTCACTGGAGAAGCCAGGGATCTACAACCATAGCGCTTTGGACCACAGCAGGTTCTCAGCACCTGCTGACTGTTTTCCAAAATGGGGCTGCCATGGCTGCCACGGCTGCCACGAAATAGGTTGGTTATGTCCAAAATAAAAAAAAGGAGAACATCCCTCTTCCCTACTTTGAGCATTGCAAAATCCTGCCCTCAGACATGTGAGCTAGGCTGCCAGGAACTGCTTTTCTCATGAGAAGAGGGAGGCAGGGTCTCCCTACCGCAGTCCCAGAGGGCACTAGGAAAAGCAAATGCTGCATCGGTAACGATAACTCACTCTCAGAGTGCCTGCCCAGCTGGCAAATGCCCCTGCTCTACAGTGGCACATTCTAGTTACAGATCAACTTTTTAGATCACTGTAAAAATAAAATCCTGAACCACTCAGTCCTCTAAAGCCAGATGTGCACTTGGACCCACTCAGAGCTTGTCAGCTTCTTCCAGGTAAGACAAGATACTCACATTTTGGTCCTTGTTAATGATACCCTGGAGAATGAGAACTTTTCCTTCACTTGCTGAGATACTGCTAGGAGACTAAAGGTATGAAAAATAATACCTTGAGGCTTAATACCTGCACTCCTTTGCTTTCTTTTGTACTAACTAAGAAAAATTATCAGTTCCCAGACATTCTGCTTGGTGTAAGAGAGCATTATGCAGGGAGCAACAGCCTGAAGAAAACAGCGTCAGCTCTAAATGACGCTGGTAGCAGGGCAAGCGTTGAGAGTGGAGCCTCCTGATACCCAATAGAGTATCCTGTCCCCACCTACTAGAATTGGCTTTACCCATGGGTAGAGACATTTGTGACAGTTAATGACATAGAGAAAAAAAGGTAGCAGGTTTGAAGACAACTATGCAAGTCTTACATGAAGACGGTTCCAGTTTTGCACTGAAAGAGTATTCGTTTTTTGTGACTCCTGTATAAAACACTATGTTGCCTGAAAGGTATGTAGTAGCAGTGTAGTAGTTGTGACTTTTGTTCCTGAAAGTTATAGTGACTTTAAAGTCACTCCCAAGGACTGCTTTTTGCACGTGGAAGTCCATGTCAACATCTGTCTGTGGCTGATACATAGTATCTTGGGCAGTTTGCTTTTTAACGCCATACATCACTGCGGTCTCAAGAGCCAATCTCTCCTCCCTCGAGCCTAGAAATGAAGGAAAATAAAATTTAGAAGAGAAACAGGAATACCGCATTAGCCTGCTCATCGATCACAAGGGTGCACCTTCCACAGTCTCTGGTAGCTGAAATGAACGGATGAGGATAGCGAGTGAAACTTCCTGTGGTGAAGTTATTATCAGGACAATTTCACAACTTCCAGGTGAGGTGGTCTTAAAGATTCAAGCCATATCAGATAAACTGACCTGGATTAATTGATATTAATGGAGCTACACCGATCTACTCTGTGCAAATATCTGGCCTGAGTAAGAAATGTTTAAATAGCTGCACAGAAAGCCTTGAACTGTTTTGGATGCTTTGAGTTGCACCATGACTACCCTTTGTTTTCACTACAGCTTTCTCAGTCCAAAGCATCTCTGAGTAGCAAAGTTTGTGCTCTCATGAAGGCATCTGCAGTGTTTCTGGGATGGAGTAACAAATAAAGAGTTCCAGAGGACACCTTGGCAGCTTTTCATGCAGCTCCCTCAGTGCCAGAGGTTTGTAAGTCCATCATCCAAGATCTGACTGAGGTAAATCTACATCAGTATTGTCCCCCCCCATTCCAGGTTACCTTCTTGGAACTTGTACTCCTCAGTAATCTCCATCATTCCATCACCACCAACTTGCTTGGTCACAATCAGCTGCCCAATATGTGTTGTGTCAATTTTTTCTATCACTTGGGTTCCATTTTTCTCCCTTCTTGAGTAAACAATATCACTATTCACCTACAAAATTAAATGAAAAAGGATTGAGATATATGGAAGCAGAGAGAGGAAGGGAAGCCAACCTATTGCCCCTCAAAACAATGACATGTTGACTTGAAGTCCCGCTCACATTGAAGCACCATGTTTAATATCAGTCACATGCTACAATAATGATTAGATTAATTTTACTATTCGTGGCTCCACAATGACAGACAGTGTAAACTTGAGCAGGATACAGGGACACCATTTGGACTTGGGGAGCATGATTACACATTGGGGAGCCCTCCTTGACCCACTGCAGCCAAAAGGAACATGGTGAACAAACGTATCTTTAAAATCAATGCACCCGTTTTGACTGAAATAATCAAGGGAGTCTTAACATAGGCAGCTTTTCTGGCAAGCCTGAGAAGGACATAACAGCTAACAAGGGATGAAGATGAGCAGCTAGAGCTAGTGACTCATTTGCCAGCATAGCTGGAATCTGGAAAGGATAAATGACCACAGCCTGAAGTTTCATTGGAGCCAGAGTAGCTTTTTCTGCTTATTATGTTGGTGAGCAGAGATTAGAGAAATCTCTGTCATTCATTAGAATCATATCACACCTACTGGCCTGCATGTCAAAACATAATTATGAGCTTTTTCTTTGACATCAAGTATACGTGGAGTAAGTTCTAAATCCACAAATTGCAGTGGAGCTCTATCTTCTGTCTCACCTATGGTCCTGCTGATATCACTCAATGCACTAAGAATTTTCAGGTACGCACCTCAGCATAGACAAAAGGAGCATCAAATTGGAAGCAAACATGACCATGTTTAATGGCTTGAACTGAGGCTGGGCCACACCTGTACATACCTATGGGGAGAAGAGAGATAAATTGAGAGATTAAATAAATTTAAAAACATGATAAAATGTTCTATTTTCTCAAAGAAAAAGAATTATTGGGGTTTGGCGAACTCTTTTAGTAGTTTACAGGAACTCTTGACCAAGAAGTAAAAAGCTTTATTTCTGTTGCCAGCCCTCTAAACAACACAGACTCAAGTCTGAAACAACCTAATGATTTGGTACATTAATGGCACCGTAAAGTCCCCTGCAAGCCTCAAGTGCTTGAAATGCAGCTACAGATGGTTTTGGTTAAAGCAGATAATTTTTGGAGGGCTCAGTTATACCACAGACCGAGAAAGATCTCACTGCAGATTTGCTAAGAATGTCTTTTAAGAACTGGAAAGTTAAGGACTAGGAAGAAATAGCAGTGGCTTTTCACTTCTCTTCTGCTTACTGCCTGCTCAGGAAGTTTAGTAAGGGCTGTAGACATATAATGAAGGAGAATTAACTTGATCAGGCTCCTGCATAGGTTCTCTAAAATTTTAGAAGCCATTTTTTGGCAACAGGACTACATCTCTTCTGTACCAAGCAGGGCCCTTCTCATGTAGGATTTTGTGCACATGCATCACGAGCAGCGTTATAATAAGGACAGACTTATTTTAGAGCTCAGAACAAATCAGAAGAAAGCCCTGAGCACAGGAGAGTGTGGTAATCTGGTGCAAGAAGTTGTCACTGGCCGTATGGTCCCACTGGCTCAGCTGTCGTCAGCTCACTGTTTGCCACAAAGAGCCCAAGCGTTGGAAAGAGAGCTAAGGAGGACTTCAAGCAATATTACCATCACTGGTTTCTTGGGGTGTCCCATCAACAACCTGCCATCCTCCAAAACCAACAGGAAGATCGGGTCTGGTCATCCAAGCTTCATTCCAGCAATGATAGTTCCTTAGGCAAGAGATGAGACCAGAATATTAAATTATTGGAAAGAAGTATACAGACCAAAACAAACCTGTGTATTTATGTCCTGTCATTGCTTCAATAACAACGTTTGACAATTTAGGGGTGAAAAAGCTGGCTCTTATTACAGAATAGATCTTTAGGTCTAAAAGTTTGGTACCTATCTGTTAAAACCTGAAGGCCACAATCCTTCATTGTAGTTTCTTGATTGCAAGTTGAAGCAGCTTTTTGATTCTTCTACTGTGTTCTGAATGCAAATGTCTCTGAGAAAACTTTCCAGTCCTTGGAGATTGTTGGGGTATATGAGGAGCTACACAAACTCAATCCCTTTCCAGCCAGACATATCCCTAAAAAGGGAACCACAAGACAGCTGCAATCCTTTCTATTAGTGGAGGACATCTCCATTTCAGTCTGCCTGCTAAAGCAAGCTTTGAATCTTCTTCAAGCCACTGAAGCATGGTCTGCTTTATAACTATTAAGACTGAAGCTTTGGTGCCTCTCCTGAAGAGATTTCAGGATCAACTCCATACCGTACAGTGTGTTGCTTTGTTTTCATGGCTCAAAACAAACATGCCTAGCTGGTTTCCACACTGGTTGAAAAAAAGACCCTGCATAGGCTTTATAAGACCATCCTCATTGTGGATTCCTTATAAGGTCCTCCCAGTCTGTCATGCCAATGAGGGAGGTCAGATCTCCTAGAACATACAGTTTTCCATAAAATCCACCTACAACCACTGTGGGCCAAGTCTTGCCTTCAGGGCCCAGGACAGTACACTGAAAGGTGAATTTCTGCGAGTGGTTCATCTAGGTGCTCAGGGCTGAAATGCCCTCACTTGGCTGGATGCTAAGGAAAAGGAAAAAAAAAAACTCTATAGCACCACCACAGTCTGCCCAGAATGTTTCCAAGATGAGCAGAAAAGAAAGACAGCTCTCGTAACTTCCTGCAATGCTACCAGTGCTTAAGGGAGAGCACAAGCAAGAAAAAAAGACAATCTAGAAAGAGGGTATTGCAGTAAAGCCAGCAAAGTGTTTGAATTTCATTACTGCAAAACATAAAAGAAGGAAGGAGTAGAGAAAAGGGCAATTTTGCTTGCAAATTATATATATCCTACAGCAGATATGAATAAAATTACATCTGTGTAGCTGCTGATACAGCCCCTGGCACAGGCAACGATATTAGCAACCAAAATGGGGATTGTTAAACTCTGACCATTTCATTAATAATAGGTGAAAACCAGCCACGGAGCAGAGTCAGAAGGATCTGAGGCTTGTCTAACAAGACATTTCAAAGTGGAAATGAAAGCTTGGATCAGGGTAAAACTTGTCAGTTAGGAGAGTTAATGAAGCAGCACTATAGAAAAAGGAATTATTCAAGGAAAATGACGCACACTCAGAGAATTTTTGATGCTGCTGAGAGTAGTCAATGCTGAATCATGCTTGCAGAGGTTTGCTGAAGGCTACCAGAGAATGGGGATGCATTTTTTGAAAAATGTTTTGCCATTTTTGAAAACTGTTATGCCAACTTGTGAGAGAGACAATCCCTGCCCTGAAGGCTTCACTGGTTCACTTTGAATCAAACTCAGATGTGTCATTGGCTTTGTGTTCTGCGAAAGAAGAACCTGAAGAGCAGGCAGGAGGGAAGGATCATAAAACCAAGCGGGGGATAACAGTGAGGAAAATGGCAGCTCTGCTTCCATTCTGTAATTAGGTAATGCAGTCTTTTCTATGTTTTTTCTATATTCAGCCTAGGGCACGCTATTGGTGTAGTGTTGGGTGCAACAGGATGGCAATTTCTTTAGGTCTGTTGCTATGCAAATAAAAAATACACTTCAGGATACTGAATGTGAATGGACAGAAAGTCAATGCTTGTAAAGCACATGAGCATTAAGGAAAGGAGGACAAGGGGAACATTTCCCTCTCCAAAATGTAGCAGAAACTTTTCTCTGGTAGAAGTGAGTGCAGCTGAGGAGCTTGCTTCCCAGCCATAATTTGTTGAATTCTGTAGTTCTTGTATTCTACAGCAAGCCTGAGACATTAAAGAAAGCAAGAATGGCTACATAGATCAATGTAGCGACCATTAAATATTTACAGAGATAATTACGAATGGGCTAAACAAAGCAATGGGGAAATTAATAAAAGATGACCAGGTGGGTTTTATGCCTGGAAGACAATTTAAGAAGGGTACTTGGTATTGCTTGTGAGACAGGCACATGCTGGAAACAGCTGCTGCCCTCTCATTAGCTAATAAGCTCAGACATTGGGGTTGAGAGAGGCACTGGTAACATTATTGAGAAATCAGACAATCGTGAGCTAGAAGTGAATGGAAGAGCAGAGATCTTAGAAAGGCTTTCTCCACAGGCCTAAAAGTGGATAAACCCCCGTGGGCCAAGTGACTTCGAGCAAGTTTCTGCTGAGGTACTGACATCGGTCTGTTTGGGACTTACAGTAGGAGTGAGTCTTGATTCCCATCCAAGAGATATATTCTTTAAGTGTCTTTATATCATCATTAAGAAAGACAAGGAGAACAAAGTAAGGGGACAGGCGCAGTACTGATGGGCCCAAATCCATACAGCTTTATAAAAATAACTTTTTGCAAAGTCTGTATAATTTTGTATATATGTTCTGTTGTTGTCATTGTTTCCTACCCTGAGGGAGAAGATGATCTTTAATAAAAATAAATAAATGTCAGATAACATTCAGAGGGAGTCCCACACTCAGAGATTGATTGGACTAAAAATCCTGGCTCCAAGTATCCCTGAAGCCTGAGAGTATTTAAAACCTGAAGACAGATCAGCTTCAGCAGTACAAGGCAATAGAAATGATATATTAATAAAGAAAAAGAGCTTTGTTTCCAGTTTTCAGCAGATTATAAATAAAAATGAGAAATACATTTAAAAAATCATTATAAACATCTTGAGCTTGTCCTCTTAAAAAAAAAAAAAAAAAAAGAGACATTAAAAATAAAATCAAGGTTAAGACACAAGCCATTTAAAGTCATCATGTGGGCTACCGTGGAGTGTTAGAGAGTAATGAAGAGAAAGGACACAGAGGAGAAATGAAAAGAGGTATGTAATATATTAAGTCATGCCCAAAGGGTTATGTGCACCATGTACTAATAAATGCACCAGGAGGATAAAAGGATGAACAAAACAGTTCAAAAAGTAATCAGGCCAAAGAAAAGCAAACGTAGGATGGGGGGATGAAATACTAGTGTGAAGTTGCATGTGTTTCAGTGGAGCAAGCATGATTTTGGATGATCTGGCCTTGTCCCAAAAGAATGAAAAAAAAAAAAACAGGACTGAATTAAGAAGTCTTGGGAAACAGCTGGGAAAAGAAGAGGTAGGGAAGTAAAAGGAAATGTCAAAAGTGGGTGAGAGTTGTTCCACAGATCAGGTTAGGAGAAGAGGAGAAGAAGAAATCAGATAGTGAAGTCTGAAGCATGGCAATGATCCATTATGAGGTGTATATGGACTGAGCAGTGAGGTGGCCAGTTTCACATCATTTATAGACAGAGGAGGTTTCAGAAGAGTGACTGTTCCTTTATGTCTTTTGAGCCATAGAAGGACCAGCCTCATGAGACATACTGAGGTCCTGCTGTCACATAGACAAGATGCAGTTTTTCAATCTGGGAACACACAAGCATCCTAACAGAAGGGAACAAGGCAAACAGCAGGACCACAACCCTGGACTTCAGGAGAGTAGGCTTTTGGTCTATATAAGGTCCTGCTTGGAAGAATCCCATGGGGGGGGGGGGGGGGGCC